CTCATGGATGGAGCATGTGCGCACAAAACACTCCTGTCGCATGTATTGCTTGCTGACCCTCACCGGAATGCTGGCACTTCGTGCTGGGGAAGCCGCCATGCTGCGCCGTGAAGATTTCCATCTGGACTCAAACCCACCTCGGCTTACTATCCCGAAAGAAAAGGGAAGAGGCAAGAGCCCAGGAGACGTCCCTCTACTACCAGAACAAGTGCAGCTCTTGAGGACATGGATTCACCAAGGCATTCACTGCAAGCGGATGAAGAAAGTCAATCAACATGAAGAGCAAGAAGAGGAGGACTCTTACTTCATACCGAAATCCGGACGCTTGTTTGAAGCACGCTGTACATATGCCAAAAAAAAGGTCAAAAGGGACCACATCGGGTACTACGGGTACCACGCGGTCTGGGCGGCAGTCCGGGGCTTAGCAAAAGGGTTCATTGCTCAACACCCGCATGCAGCGGCCCGCTGGCAACAGCTACGGTCACACAGCGGCCGAGCGACACGTATAACATTGATGATGGGCGAGGGCATATCATTAGCCATATCAATGGCTTTTGCGCGCCACTCCAAGAATTCTATCAGGACCCACTTGCAATATGGGAAATTAACGACCCAACATGTGCACAGGTACTTAGCAGATCACAGGCAACAAATGCTGATCAAGGCACCCCCTTGTGCTGCTCAGGCAGCAGTACCCGCGGACAGCAAACGTCATCTCGCCGAAGAGATTGCTGTAGCACCTGCACGCAGAGTCAGGGTGAAGGGGAAACAAGGCGCCCCAATTGCCGCAGCTGCAAATGAGGATCCGCTGCAAGGTTGCACAATGCATGATGCTGTAGCATGGTACGATGCCGGCAAACTCAACCAAGAAGAATTCGACAAAATCAAGTCTCACCTGCTACGGAAAATCCAGTAGCTGTGTCATGCTGTAGCTGTTACATGCTCGCACTGCGCTTGCTTCTGCAAAAAAAAAGCCCAATGCACCTCTGGTTCAGTAGCCAGGACAAGCTCCTGTTTGGCAGTGACCTTTCAGAAGAAAGCAGATCGTATAATGCTGCAAAGCCTCGCTGATGTTCAAGGCCAGCTTCACACCAGGGCAGGCCTGGCATGTCGGGATAGGCTTGGGTTTGCACGTGGAATTTAAGGTCCTAATGGCCTCTGCAGAGCCACGGAGGACGAGGGTCTGCTGATTTGCCCTCCCCACAGGCATGTTGGGCTGCAGTTGCCATCTGCAGTTGTCCATTGATAAGGCATGACTGAGATCTTGAGCAATATCCAAGTTTTCCCCCATGAAAGCATCAGTGATGAACACTTTTCGGTAGATGCTGGTGGCCCTGCGAAACGCCAAGCATGAGCCACGCTCACCTCGGCTATTCACGTAGTCTGGTGTGCAAAGCCTGGCCCCCAGCAGGCCGGCTACGAACCTGGCGTTCCCCGCTGCGCTGGCTGGGTCTTGCACCACGATGAGCTCGGCCTGCCTCATAATGGTCACCTCCCTGCAGTGGTAGGGCACACGGTAGCCAGGAACTGTTGAGAACACTTGCACATTCGGGTCCCATGGAGCCTGCAGGGTCAAACAAAAATAAGAAACCCCATCCCATCAATCGTGATACCCCGCTCAAAAGTCCCTAAAGCCGCCAACCCCCGAAGCCCCAAAGCCCAACCCTATACGAACTGCAAGCCCCAACCTCATTTAACTTACCTAATACGCCCTTAAGCCTTAAATCTGCCGCGCCCGACCTGGTCCTTCAGAACTTTGGCTTTCACGTTTCTGTTCTGGTTGTTGCGCTCACGCTGCGCCTTAGCAATCTTCTGTAGGAACACAGTGGACTTGTCCACCAGATCTTGCGTGATCTCTGCAGGCAGAAGATGGCCTTGCAAATACGCTTCTACTTTGGCCTTGGCTTCTTTCTCTTCATTGAAATCAATCTCTTGCAACAGCTTTGGTGTCAAGGACGCGATGATGCTGTCAGCAGATGTAACCGTCTTGGGCAATCGAGCGATGGGCCCTGCCTCTGAGCTGGCGGCCTGGTCCACGATTGCAGATCTTGCTTGCAAAAAACCACTCTCGCTCTCCTTCTTCGTGCGATGCGGCCTCGATCCATGTCGCTGCCGGCAAGCCGAGACTGAAATTAACGGGTTTTGGGTCGCAAACAATTGCCAACAATAACGACAAGGTGCCTTGCAATGCCAGCATCCCAACGCTTCTGTCGAGATTCGCCACTCGACCGTGTGCGGCCGCAGCTTGAGCGCCACACTGCTGCTGCGCTCTGAAGCAAACTCTTCTCGGCCGGGTCCGACAGCCCAGGCCGCACATCTTGAGCGATGACTAGGCAATCCTGCTCATCCTCCAAATTGTTATCCTGGCTCTTGCCGTCACCCTTCAAAGCCTTGGCATGCGCGAAACCCCGTTCCACAGTGCTTGATGAAGCTGACCAACCCGCGCTGCGAGCAAGGACGGCAATCAAAGCTTCTGGGCGGCCGCCTCTCTTCTTCTGCACGGCTTGTTTCCATGCCTCGAAACTGCTGAGACCACCCATGTGGCCCAGCTTCAAAGCGAGTGCTTCATGATGTTGGAACTCGTGCTGTAGTTGGTCTGCGTTGACCCCAATGACGGTCGCCAGCTTCTGCAGCGCCTTCATGCGTTGCCAGTTCAGCAACATCTGCTTGCACCGAGTAGCGTCCTTCACACTGAAGACCTTGAAACACGCCATGATCTCATGGCTGGGGAACTCGGCCACGAGAACCTTCTCAACCAAAGCCACATAAGTGGACATCCGCCTGAGACATCTGGTCTTGATGTCCTCTGTGAGGTCACCTCCCAAGGAATGGGCTCTGCCCTGCTGCTGCACAAACGTTCGCCTCGTTTTCAGATGCTCCAACAGCACCGTGGTCAAACAAGGAATTTGCAAGCACATGCCTTCAACAAAGAGCTTGCCCAAGACCTGCCGGAAGTGCTCCAAGTGAAACGGGAACTCGATGATATCCTCTTCGTTCTGGTCCGCAATCTCCACCAAGCGCTGGACTTCCAAAGCCGCATCCCCGAGCATCCCAAGCTGAAGGCACTTTTCCGTATCCAGCCACTGAAGGGTGTGCAAGCACGCAGCGCCCTCGTCTGAGCTGGCACTGCGCACGTCTGGAACGCACGACAGGGTTGCAAGGACGGCCTCGAAACTAATGCATATGCGCAATAATGTCACGCTTTCCGAAGCGTATCGCTGGGGAGCATATCGGAGGTCCTTGCCACAAGGAGCGTCTGGAAGCTTGGCTCTGAAATCTTCATACAATTGCTTTATGGCGGGTTTGAAGGTTATGATCTTCGCGATGCTGTGCTGCTTCTCCATAAATTCCACAACGCAGCTCTTGAGGAACGACTCGGCCGACCAAGGTCTGCTTAAGAGCCTGCAACATACGACACACACGCACACAAACAGGTACAAAACCACGAAAATCTTAGCAACGTTGCCTCTGCACTGCGTGCGCTCTGTCGCGATTGATCACCTGCATGCCGCTAGCACGCTGCACAACAGAACAGTGAACCGAACATGCATCCCAGCCGCAGGCCTTCAAGCTGCTGAGGAATTGGGTCAACTCTTCCTGAAGTCGGGGGACGGCAGGACCTGCCAAAAGCCCGCCCTGCAGCTCTCGTGCTGCCAACTGCTCATCGGCAGCGCTGTCGGCGGCAAATGCTTCGATGCGGCCGCAAAGCATGTGACAGAACTGCAGGTCCAGCTCTGGCTCCCGGTCTGGATTCTTAACCCGCAAACCACCATAGTTGGGCGGCACCTCTTTGCAACAAAAAGCTTTGATGCACGACATTGTCGCCTCTCGCAAGCCATCTGACCCCGGAGCTTGCACGCTTCCAGCATGCTTCTTCAATCCTATAGTCCCAGTCAAAATCTCTAAACTGTCTGTGACGCAGCGAAGCCGCAGCAAGAACCTATTTCCTCGCATATCCTGCTGAATGGATATGCACAAGGCATCCCGCATCTTCTGTTTCAAGGCACGGCGATGTGCAGTGGCTATGCACCAGCGCATCATTCGACACTTCCCCGTAGCGGCCACTGAGTTCACTGCATGCAATTTGGGTTCGTGAAGCACCTGCTTCCATTCTAGGAAACTGGGCGCACCGCCATCATCATCTAACAATGATGGCTCCGTGCACTCTGCACCCTCCTTGCCCACGCCCTTCGAGAAAGCACGCGCTGCTATCTGATGAGCTGGGGAGTCTGCGTGCTTCTGGAACCTCTGCAACTTCAGCTCGCCACCATGCACTTCATACCTCGCAAACTGGTGCCTCTGCACCATGAGGCCTTGAAACAACTCAGGCTGGGATTGCTGCACCTCTGCACACAACTCGCAACCCAGCCCCCGACAGCTGGAGTTGCCTTGTATCCGGAATCGTGCACCCAGCCAAGGGAATTTTTTTTCCACGCTGACTGGTTTGCGATCCACTTGCACCGGGGGCACTTCCGCTTGTCGGGGCATTCTGATGAATGCTTCTGGTCGCATAAACCACCCACTGCAGGCCTCACAGCCAGCAACGCTGCTGAAGGACACGTGTCCACATCCAGCTTCCTTTTTGTTCCGGATGCCATGGCTTGCTGCGAGCCAAAATGGCTCTGCCGAATGATCGGTTTATTCAACAAGACAAGAGCCAAAATAGCAAAAACCTCGGTAAAACGCAGGTGATGTAACCTTTAGAGGCAAAAGATTACATGGGCTCTTGTTGGGCTGCCACGGGCCATCATGGCTCTTGTTGGGCTGCCATGGCCCACCGGCCCCTGGTTCTGACTTCGAGCCACTCGTTGACTGGAGAAATATGGCTCAGGAAGCAAGGACAACAAGCAGGAGGCTTGGCCTCCTCATTCATTTGGCCTCCTTCCACAAGGGCAGGAGGCACCGATCAGGAGGCCAAGCCTCCTCCTTCAATCATGGCCTCCTTCCCTTACTTTGGGCAGGAGGCACCGATCAGGAGGCTCAGGCCTCCTCGGGTGCAAGATGATATAGTTGTTTCGGCAGCCGGGTCCACCAACCTTCCCAAGTACAGCATAAAAACAAGCCGACGACCCACTCTTGTGCCACGTTTTGACACAAACCTATGGCTCAGATCGCTTTATAATGGAGAACACTAATGGCTTATGGAGTCCATCACCTTAGTTTCTTAGTCGATGTTTTGTCAGGTATTTTTCCATGGTAGATGTCAGGTAGTTTCAACCCAAGCTATAATTTTCTAACATGCAACAACCTTATCCAATCAACCCCCAAGATCCTAGTTTATTGGGGCCCAGTATCATCCCCCCCCTTCCACCCTCCCCGCACCCCCCTTTTGAAACCAGCCTGAGAAGTCTGAAGAAAGTCCGAAGATGACTGACCACCCGCAGAGCCTGAAGGGTCCGAAAAAGCAAGGTTGGATTCGTGTCAATCCTGGAAACAATCTCATTCAAATTTCACCAGTCCACAACAGATGTCAGACTGGCCAGAAACATCCAGAAACCACTCATGATCGAAACATGTTGTGTTTCATGTTGTGAAATCTGGTGGTTGTTCCACGTTTTGCGGACATGAGTTTTGCCCAGCATAAACCCACAGCAGAACCAGCCTGCTAGCCCACCAAGGTGAAAACCCACGCGGCGACACCTGGGCAATAAGGGCCGGAAAACACGACCACTTCAAGTCGTGAGTCATGACACTGAAACGATTGGTGGTGTGGTCCGGAAAATCATACTTGCTTATGCTTTGGGATGCATACGAGTTGTTGATAGCAGGGTCTGGAAGGGATTGCTGCGCAACCCGACTCAAACGGCACCAGAATCGACTTCGCTTCAGCGGTCGCTCTAGGAGCCTGGGGCCTCGACGAACAACGAGATGACGATACATATGATGCAACAAAAGCAGCATCCCGCACAATACGTGCAATGCGTACACTCTACTGTCGGGTGGAGGCTTCAGCCGGGGATCCTTAGACTCTATAAGCTCAATGCACGAGCAGTCAGCAATGGTTCGGGAAGGTAAGTGTGGGAAGAAGATACGGCCAAGCTGATACGTTCTTTTGGCATGCAGTGGCCAAAAGCCACTGCAGCCGGCGATGCATCTGTACCTACAGGCATCTGTGCTCTGTCAGCCCATCTGCCCACATCAGATGGGCTGGAAGCCGATGGGATTTTACACCCGGCACCACCTTTGGATGGCCCTTGTCGCTTGAGTTGCGGGCGTCCCACGACGCCGTCCATCGAGCTGTTGGCGTCATGTCAAAGAAAGCTGTTCGGAAGCCGGGAGCCACATCACTCTGCGTCGTGCTGTGATTCGCTGCCGCAACATTTCCGAAACTTTATCGGCCGTCGGCCACTGACACTTCTGCCAAACCGGCAGGCAGAAGCCTGGTGCGGCGGCTTCGCCAATGCAACAGCATGGCTGGTGTTGTGTTATTGCGGGACCGGCGGGCGTACCGGTGAGCCCGCTCGAAGTCAGTGCGGTATACTTCCGCTTTTGGAGCACCGCCTTCTATCGGCGGGTGCAGTCACTTCAAGCCGTAGTCCAGGGTGCCTTCCGTGAGAGCCCCCTCCATGCCCCTGCAACTAGTCCAAGCACCCGCTGCTCTCGACAATCCTCTGATACCCTTGAACAGATTGAATCGACCTGTGAAGCAGCTGCAGGCGTACCATCTCACTTTATTGTACCATCTCCGATCAAGCCAGTCACCTGCAGAGTGAGTGATTCACAAAGGGCTCCGTGCCTAAACACGACCGCTGCCACGAGCTCCCTTGATCACTGCTATATCCCTTATCCCGGGTGCTGCAACTCAGCTCAACAAATCTACATCGAGAGATCCCAGCCACCCCGCATGCAGACGTCCAGAAACACAAATTTAAGCTTAAAATACTTCAAGCCAGAAGCACGAACTACAGTGCCTGAGCAGCTGGCAACCGATCTTCCAGTTGGGTTGGCCTCCCATGCGCGCAACTGCCAGACCTCTGAAGAGCAGGGCAGGGCCGCAGGGCCAAGGCATGGAGTCGAGTGACAGACAGGTGGGGTCTGGCAGCGAATGTTGCAAGAATACACAGTGCATTTTGCAGGGCAGCTGCAGCATAACGTACCTGACATGAGGTACGACCCTTTTCCTCGATGCACCTTCACGATCGCGTGCACAGCCCACCCTCTGCCAACTCAGTTGCGACGTGTTTGCAAGATCCTTCCGGTAGAAACGATGCTCTAGGTCTCTGGTCGGATGTCGGCAGGCATGCAGGCCTGGAGAAGGCCAGATGAATAAGACTGCGTCGTCTACGTCCATTGCCAAAAACGAGGCAGTGCACTGATGTGGCCATCGCAGGTAAGAAACCGCCCCAATGCATTGTTTTCCAGGCCCACCATGGAGAAGGTAGGATATTGAGCCTGGATCTGCCAACCATCCCTTTCCAGCTCCTCGACGAGCTGCCAGTGAATCTTGCGCGTATGTGTTGACACATGCAGGCGCCGAACTCGAGTCGACAGCCAAGCAAACAAGCCTGGCAAAATCTCGCCCTCTGCTCCCTGTATATCT